CAGGCTATGGCTAGTGAAGGGGGGGCACATTTTCTAGCTGCTCAGAAGCATTTTCTCCGGGTATTGAAAGCCACCTTTCAAACCTAGGCCTGGCTTCAATTGGGGGGATGAAGCCCTTGCTAGCTCCCACCCCCCCACAGCTCCATCCCTAGGGTGGTGGCATTGCAGTGGTTCCAAGCAGAGGTGGGCTGGCGCCTTTCCGAAAGTGCGGAGGCTTTCTCCTTGCATGGTCAGTGGGTTGCTCTGGAGTGACTGCCACTCCTAGCTGCTGTGGCTGCCAGCTCCCTTTGATTCACCCTCTGCCTCTCTCTTCTTCCCCCACTTTCCTTTCCCTCCGCTGCAGTATCTATTTCAGTCCCTCCTGCCTGCTGGATTGGATTCATCGCATCCGGAATGGCAAACAATTTATTGTCATTCAATCCTCTTTTTCTCTTCCTCCCTCTCCTGCCTACCCCCCAATCCTGTTTGGTGCTGGAGAATTTTGCTGGGTCCTAAAGCCCGTGTGGTCGAAACTTGGGCCCTGGGCCTGCCCATAAAATCATAGCCTTTATTGGCAGGGCTCGGCATCTATGCACCCAAATTCTCTGCTGAACTCTGCAAATTGTCTACGTGATGCTTGTTGGCTTCCTCTTGCATAATTTATTCTGCTTCAGCCCGTGGTGAGGAGGGGCGAAGGAGTGATGCAGGGCCTTGGAGCCCCGCCCACTGACAGCTGGAATTTTGGTTCAGCATCTTCCTTCCCTGAGATTTTGCCAGGCCTTGCTAATCCATAATCAACCCTGTCTTTGTGGCCTTATGGGCTAGAAACTTGAGTCGTGTGTACCTATCTTTAAACGGAAATCGGGAAATCTTACAATGGGATATCCAATTCCAATTTACACAGTGAAATTGTAAAGTTATGGAATAGTGATTCTTTGGTCTTAAGTAGTGGAATTGCACCTGTATTCAGCTAGGTCTGCGTGATCAGAAACAGCTTCTGGTGGACAGGTGACTTTCTAGGTGTCGCCTTGTACTGAGAAGTGGTGACTTGATGGAAGCTGCCTGGTACGTTATCAGGGTAAAAGTGAATTGGTCTAAATCTCTGTAGCAGAACTCCTACTGTGTCTGATAGATCACGCTGGGTCTCGTTAGGTCATGCAATGGAGCTCTGTGGCCCAAGGTGGTGGGAATCCAGATCAAGCAAGCACGGTCCTGCTGACCCATAAAGATCCATATTCCACCTCATATAAAACAGAAGTACCAAAAGTCTTTTTATTGTTCAGTCGCACAGTTGAGTCCGACTCTTCGCGACCCCATGGACCAGACCACACCAGGCCTTCCTGTCTTCCGCTGTCTTCTGAAGATGGCTCAATTTCATGTTCGTTGCATCCATGACACTGTCTAACCATCTCATCCTTTGCTGTCCCCATCTTCTTTGTCCTTCAATCTTTCCCAGCATCAGGGTCTTCCCCAGTGAGTGCTCCCTTCTCATTGGGTGGCCAAAGTATTTGAGCTTCAGTTTCATTATCTGGCCTTCCAGGGAACAGTCAGGCTTGATTTCTTTTAGGATTGACTGATTGGATCTTCTTGCAGTCCAAGGGACTCTCAAGACTCTTCTCCAGCACCATAGTTCAGAAGAATCGATTCTTTGGCGCTTGGCCTTCCTTATAGTCCAACTCTCGCAGCCATACATGACTACTGGACTTCTGTTAAAGGCCATCCCTGACAACCCTCCCTTTGCTTTGCTCCCGCCATTGCGCCCTGTCTGCCAGACTTTAAAGTGTCACAACCTTCCAGCTTATTTTCACTGCAGATCAGATTCCCATAATTTAAGATCTAGGATGGATTGTGCCCCTCCCATTTGTAGCCCCTGGGGGGAGGACTCCAGATCCCCATTGTCCACAGTGGTGGTGGTGGTGGTGGTGTTCACCTCTGTTTGCGGGCAGCCTCCTCACGTGGTCCCCACCTTCGCTTGAGATGCCTTCACTGATGTGAATGGCTGGGAGAGGGAAAGCCTTTTGTGAATTGCCCGGAGAGTGGAAGCCTTGTGTGCTGTTGTCACTTGACTTGGGAGCAGCAGCAAAGAAGTAGGAAAGAGAGAAGTGCAAAAGGACGATTAGGGTGACCTGAAGAGTGAAGAAGAGGGTAGCTGAGAATTTGCAGTGCTGAGACTGGGGTGGGGAGACAGAGGAAGAGGTGGGGGAGTTAAGGGGTGGGCTGCGGCTGAAGAGAGAAATGCGCGTTTGCAGAGAAAGCCTAATGGAGTAGAAAGAGTAAAAATAGTTCATGTTAAAGATCAGGCGCCACCGCTAGCAATACCGAGAAGGGGAAATACTCTGTGTCCTGCAGAAGGGGAAAGGCCAGTGGGTTAACGGAGAAGTTCTAAAAAGAAGAGCATTAAGTTTGTAACCAGTACCTTTCGGAGGTTACTGTGACCTTTGGAGTGTTGTGCATTTTTCCTTTTGACAAGGGCCAATTAGGGGATAAATCCGGTGCCAGCGCTTGCAGGAATTCCTGCTCCACTAGAGTGTGTGTGTGTGAAAGAGAGTCGCTGTGTTGAGAAGGCCTTCTGCATATGTGCTGAGGCTAGAAACAGATTCTGCTCTGGTCTGTCTCTTCCTTCCCTTTCCCCATTCCGATCTCTGCCTGCCTGGAGGCTGAGAGGGTTTTTCAATGAACCTGGACTGACTGATTTTCTTTCTTTTTTCTTGAGGGTTGGGAGGTGGGGAGAAACAGGCCCAGAGAGAACACCCAAAGCAGCTTTGGCTTTTAGCAATCAAAGGGAGATGCCTCTTGATCTTCACCCGCTCTTTGCTCTTCTTCAAGGTCAACCTGGCAAATGAAAATCAATCTTCTCCCCTTGCTTGTTCCCTTTGTAGGGCTCCGGCAGCGTTCCTTACCAGCTGCCCTGGCTTCATTGATTGGAAAGCCTCCTTTTGCTTTCCAGGGATGGGGCTGTTGGCCTTCAAGCCATTCCTTCCTCCCCCAGGACAGACAGCTGCCAAGTCCTCCGGCGGAACTGGTCAGCTTGCAGCCTGAACCCAACCTAACTCTCCACCTCCCTTCCCATCAAGGGCTGTGCCGGAGTCCAGGTTTCCCAGGGCTGGGAAACTGGGGTAGGGAGGAAGGTTGACACCCCCAACGCCACAGTCCTAAGTCAAATTGTGCCCTTGTGTGCCGGGAAGAGGCGTTCCAGCAGCATGAGGCGTGACTGAACCTTAGAAAAGGCCTTCCTGACAGAGCAGTTCTCCAGTGGAAAAGGTTCCTTGGGGGCTGGTGGGCTCTCCTTCTCTGGAAATTTTTAAGCAGGGGTTAGATGGCCATTTGACAGCAATGCTCATTCTGTGAATTCAGGCAGGCTGTGAGGTGGGGGGGGCAGGAAGAGATGAACCACTGCCTTTCAAGGCAGTGCCACGCAATGTTCCCACTAAGCTATGGAGTCTTGTGAGCAAAAATTCTACTTTGTGAGCTACTGGCATTGAAGCTGTGAGCGAGCGATTTGGCGACTGCGTAAATGGGTTTGCTCTGGAGCCCTCCTTCCTGAGCTAAGACAAAAATATGTGAGCCTAAAGAACTGTGAGCTAGCTCACACTAACTCAGCTTAGAGGGAACGCTGAATTATGCCAATCATCACTTTGGGGTCAAGAAGGAATTTGCCTCCAGGCAGATTGGTCCGAGGATCCTGGTGGTTGTTTTTTAACCTTCCTCTGGGCATAGAGCAGGGATCACTGAGGGAGGGAGGGGGGAGGGAGCAGTGAATTTCCTGTGTCATGTAGGGGGTTGGACTAGATGCCCCTTGGGGTCCTTTCCAGCTCTGTGCTTCTATGACTCCTAGTCAAAAAGTTGGCTCAGGGAATCAGGGCTGGCTCCAGCTTATTTTGCACCCTAGGCGAGGATCCCTTATCCCCCCTCCCGTGCGCCCACCAATTTTCAAAAATAAATGCATTTTAGGAAGAATGAAAAACACAAATAATCAAGAAACTCCCAGAGTACGGGGCCGGATGCAGTTTGGTGCCCCTAAGGGCAATCCCGCTCTAGGCGATCGCCTAGTTAGCCTAGTGAGTGAGCCGGCCCTGCAGGGAACCCAAATCCAATGCATGGCGAAGGGAGCTTTAGATACTCATTAGCGTCTACCTCCAAAAGCTTGTTGGTCTCTAAGGTGCTACTGGACTCCAGTCTAGGTGGGGAGAAAATCGTAATGATCTAGTTTGGGCCTGAGATTCTGGTAGTCCAGTGCTCCTTCCCTGTTGAATTTGCCTCTCTCAGAGTTTTAGGGTAGGTGGCTTATGAAGTCCACCCGCTGCTGCTGCAGAGTAAGCTCATTTATCCCTGGAGGTGGGAAAAAAAGTCTGTTCTAGGCTCTTTTGTTTTTTAAAAAAGCTTATTTCATAGGAATTCTCTGCTGCATAGCTGATCGCTTCAGCTCTGTTTCTAAGGCAGAACAAAACGGGGAGGGCGGAGTGGCTCAGGATATCTTTTTTGCTACTCAAAAGTAGCTCTTATGAAACGAAGTCTGCCCCTGTCCTAGGGTCTTGAGGAACAAGCCCCCTTCTTCATAATCTCTCAGTGTCTCTCAGTTAGCCAGTCCTGGGGCGGCTGGGTACCAGGATGAGGGGGCTGCTTGGGATATACCACAGCAGAAGGGCGGGGGGAATGATGCTGGGCTATTGCACTCGAGCTACAGGCCTTGGGATCTTCCATAGGTGATGTTCTGGGATGTGCTTTCCATTTGTGTGGATGCCCTCACCTCATCCTGCTTCTCACTGGGTCCTCCCAGACTGTTTGGGAATCCAGCAGGTGTGGATCTGGTCCGGTGTCAGGATAGGAGCCTGCTTGGGAGCTCCATACAAGCTCTCCTTCCTCTTCATGAAAGTGCCTTCCCCAGGGCAGAGTGCATGTTCGTTCCCCTCTCTTCCCCCTGCCGACTGTACAGTGTCTCAATTGGTGTGTTTTTTTGGCTTCCGTCTCCTGCAGGATCTTCTAATGTTCCCCGCTGACCCGAGCCTCCGTCCTTCCCCAGAATGCCCCACTCGTCCAGCACAGCCGAGCGCAGCCCCGAAGAGAGCATGGATCCCGTGGCCGAGGAGCTGCAGCAGGTCCTGTCCATTGACCAGATCCGTGCCATCCGCGCCTCCAACGACTACGTGGAGAGACCGTCCACGGCCTCCTTCAAGCAAGCTCACTCTGCCCCCTCGTTGTCCCAGCAGCAGGGGAGCCACAAGCAGGAGGTGGCGCAGGAGCGGCTGACTTCCTCCGCCTTCCAGGACCTGCATCAGCCGCACCAGGCGCTCCCTTTCCAGCAGCCTTTGAGCCATTCCAGCACTGCCAGCTCCATCTCCCACGGCACCACCACCTCGGAGCAGCGGCTGCTCGGCGGGATCACGCCCTCGCACTCCGGCCACTCCCTCGTCCGGACACAGCCCCGGGGCGGTGACCTGAAGCCTGAGGAGCTGCCGAAGGGGGCGGCCGAGAAGCCCCCCACCTTCCACTCAGGGCACCTCTTCATCTGTGAGGAGTGTGGCCGCTGCAAGTGCGCCCGCTGTGCGGCCACCCGCAGCTTGCCCTCCTGCTGGCTTTGCAACCAGCGCTGCCTCTGCTCGCCGGAGAACCTCATTGACTACGGGACTTGCCTCTGCTGCGTCAAGGGCATCTTCTACCACTGTTCCTCGGACGACGAGGACACCTGTGCTGACGACCCGTGCTCGTGCGCCCCCGGCTCCTGCTGTGCCCGCTGGGTTGCGATGAGTTTCCTCTCTTTGCTCATGCCCTGCCTGTGCTGCTACTTTCCTACCTTGGGGTGCCTCAAACTTTGCCAGTGGGGCTACGACACCCTGAAACGACCCGGCTGCCGCTGCCAGAGCCACACCAATACAGTCTGTCGGAAGATCTCCTCTTCCAGTGGGGCAGCTTTCCCCAAGACTTTGGACAAGCCGGTATGACTCCTCCCCACCCTGCGAAGGGGAAAACCGGCTGTCCTTCACCTTCTCCTTCAGCTTCTGCTGCTGAAAGCCTCGGCCTGGGTACCAAGGACAGAGGAACGGCCAGTCACCGAACCCATCAGATTTTGAAGCTGGTTCGATGACGTTGACCTCTTGTCCCCTTGTCCTTCAAGGGTTTTGCACGTCTTGGTGATGGCAGAGGACAAGTGGAACAGGAAGCTGAGGCAGACAATAATGATCGCAGTCGAGGGTGGGGGAATGGTTTGCTCTACAGGGTGGCTCAGGATTCTGGCCTCCAGAATGCCTTATGAGTGATGGATCTGTGGTGGGTTCCAAAAATCAGTGTCGCACCCAAGCACTACGATAACCCGGGGAAGAAGGCCATGATAAGCCCAAGTTTTCAGTCCCTCGGGCACCCCTGCTTAGGGCTCATATTCCAGACCTCCTTCTGCCCTGCACAATTTGCAGAAGGGGGGGAAGGAGAAGCTTCCAAACAGTAGCAAGTGGAGGTTGCCGTACCAAACATATGTTTTGTTTTTTTTGGTTGGAGACCAGTTGAGGATGTTTGTCCAGAAAGGGGAGAGGATGGAAGGTTAAAAGTCACAAGTGTTCAAGGGTTTACAAGGGTGTGCGCCTCTTCAGTTGCATGCAGATCTTAGGGGTCCACAAAAATAGGGGTCCTACACAATCTGGCACCTGAAACCTCAAGACCACTAGGCTTGAAACAGTGCAGGCTCGACCTCGATCCTTTCCGGGTTTAGTGGGCTGTCGGATAGCTTGAAATATCACTGTGGGTCTAGCCAAGGCTAAAGGTAGACCAGGACGCCTTTGGCCAGCTGCTCCTTGCTTGCAAAATCACTTCTATAGCTGATGCATCTCTGTATCATTGATGCAGCTCTTTCTCACCAAGAGCTGAGTGATTCAGAGTGTGGACTCTTCTTTTGCCCCTCCCTAGACGTAGGGTATATAGAACCACATCCTGCTGTGCCGCTAAGCAACAGCTCCCTGCTACTCAGGGTGACAGTTTTTAACCTGACGACTGTGACATGCTTTCTCTGGAAAACACAGAATGCTGGGAAAATGTGCAAGGTGGAGAGCGACTGCAGGTATTCTTGTGACGGAGAATTGAGCTTCCAATGTGATGGGGGTGGTGGTGGGGGGTTAGGAGAATTCGGCCGGAGAGCTCGCTAGGATGGGCTGTGGGTGCGTTCTTTCCTCTCCCGGCCGAACTGCAAGCACTTTGATTCTGTTTGACTAGAGAAGGGAATGT